CCCCCCCCCCCCCCACACACACTCAATGTCCTATGTCTTTTAAGTGGGAAACACATTTATTTGTTGGAAAGGTTAATGCAACATTTAAGTGTCTGTCTATAATAAAAACACAAGAATCAACAGTTTGTTTATTTATGTGGAAAGCTCCTAACTTTAGTGCTAGTTAGTGTTGGATCGATGCCAGTTATTTAAAATAATCGGAACATGTAGATGTCTTTAACGCACTGCAACGTATGTAAATAGATTGAAGATTAAAATGCAGGAAACACGATTTAGCTATGTTTACATAATACAGAGTAGAACTGTCTGTATGTAAAGCCAATTAATCTCCCTGCCTATGTTACAGCGAGGGTACATGGTGTTTCTTGGAGCGATTGACACAAGATGTTCTTACAGCCAAGACCGAACATGAAAAACTGAAGTTGAGGAATGCGTCAAAGATAAACCTCCAACCGACGTCGGACAAACGAATTCAGACAGACGAAGTGCAATGTAGTCCCAAAACGTCACGTCACATCGGCAGGGGAAACCCATTGTCCACAGAGGCATACCAGAGCGTGACGGAAGTACTAAATGCGAAAACAGCCACCCTCCCAAACAGTTCAACGTGTACCGTTACACTAGCCAAGCCGTCCGTCACGGTGACACCTCCCCAAGCTCCGCCTCCACCGCCTTTAACTGGAGGACCGCCACCGCCTCCACCACCACCACCCCCTCTTCCCCCTGGAAGTGGAGTTCCGCCTCCGCCCCCACCACCTCCTGCACCAGGCTGCCCTGCCCCGCCACCTCCCCCACCACCTCCTGGCGGAGGTCCACCACCACCACCACCCCCTCCTGGTGGAGGTCCCCCACCTCCTCCTGGAGCGCCCCCTCCCCCTGGATCACAATCCCCGGGACTGGGATACGCCGTCGTCCCTCAAGTGCCACTACCCCCGACGATATCGACACCAGAACCTAAATGCAAGATGAAACAGCTCATGTGGAGCAAGATACCAAACACGGCCTTTAATGGTGAGTACCTGATATCACATGTATCGTCTTTAATCGCGAGAACTACATCACCCAAGTATCATCCTTTGACGGAACAATTTTTAAATGTTACCTCTATCACACGTAGTAACGAATAAATCCTCGAAATAGTATGGTTCCGCATTCGATTCCCCTGTTTTCTCCTGCATCCTTGGAATAGTTAAACTCGAAGGTTCGCATGTATCTGTCCTTTGAATATCACAGATAACTACACCCAGCTTAAAAGTCTGTCAATTTTACCGTTACGCTACCGCACTATTTATTTGATCTTCATCCAAGACATCAGCCTAGTCTACTTGTATTTTTCTTCACTTTTGTATAAGCCCTGTTGAATAAGGAGCTTCCGATTTTGTCGTGACTTATTCCAGGCGTGCAGAGAAGATGTGTATATCGAAAGCTGAGCCCTTTGATGTCGGTGATATGTTGATTACAATGTTTAAGTACGGGGTACAATGTGCGAGGCCTATACAGTAAGGCATAGGGTTCGACTGAACTAACGCTGTATTAATTGTTATTTATCTAGATATATTTGTATCACCCCAAATGAACGTAAAGCATGACTTTTTGCAGTAAGAACACATGTAAATTGGGATTTACGTTGATGTTAAAAGCAACCGAAAGTTATTGACAATTTGACCGAAATGTACCTACATATTTCATTGGTTAATATTTACCATCGTATGCCATTGCCACTATATAACTCTACCAAATTCAGTTGGCATTCATATAGGCTATGAATGCCATGGACCGATTGTTGACGCCATCATTGAATTTGAATTTAGTGCGCCCCATTGAATTTGTCTCTGTCCAGTTGGCATTCATATTGCCTATGAAAGCCAACTGAAAGCAGTTCAATGCTTAAATAACCTTATATTATTGCAAGTTCTAATACGATTTCAGGAGTGCTTTATTTAAAAAAAATACTGATCATGTTTCAATCTGAAATAGGACAATGGTTCACTCTTCCACTCTTAATGCTCGTCCAATGCACTTAAGCCATGCCCAGTTTCTAACCACAATAACAGGACGATTCTAGCATGAAGCATTACCATATTACTTCAAATAAAATTCCTATGTCGATATGTTTAGTCTGATATTTTCCAAACAGCAATTGGTAAGACACTGTTATGCAAAAATGATGTCAGAAGCTTCACGATATTCAAATTGAGCATGCGCAAGATGGGTCCAAAAGATATTTTGATGGTTTCTAAGTCATATATATTAGTGGAACATGACTGAACATGTCTTGCTGGGTTCACAGAATCCTTGGCTACGATTTCAACTAAGTTGTTATATAATGTTTTTGGTTTCTTAAATACCAAAAACGGATTTATTACATTGTAAAACGTGTAAGAAGTTGGATGGTATGTTGTTTTTAAAGTCTATATTGGCGACGAGATAATGATATTTGATTTATTCTCGGCCAATCGGTCGGGTGATTTAACCAAATTTCATTTTCTGATCGCAAGTATAGACACTCACTGCAACATATCATCAACGAAGTAATCAATTCACGTGAAGTCCCCCACCCCTCCCCCCAGCAACCATGCACATGGTAAGCTCTTCTGAAAGCCTCCCCGTATTTCAAAGTAAACCATTTTGTCGAGTGAGGGAGCCAACTAGTTGCTCTGTTTATCTGGCGTGCCCTATATACACTCCAAAACATTGTCTAACATGCATGTGTAACTCAGTCATGATATTTTGAGTTTTGTTATGTTTTATTCTTGGTTAAAGACCTTGACCGCATCTCCCATTTCTTTCCAGATGAAAGTGTGTGGGGTGACGTCAACAAGATGTCGGACAACATACCTGTACAGTATAAGAGGTTAGAAGAGATGTTTGCTCAGAAATCCCTACCTACAGTGTCTGAACTGCGGCCAGACTCTGGAAAGACTCCGTTGGTACGGAGACATTCCGGTGCATCAGAGGTACAACAACCTTACATACACCTAACATACAATTAACTGTTTTATTTTATACATTACATAAAAGACCGTGAACAATAAGGATTATAAATGTACGCATAGTGAACTGTTGGTTATATTGCATCCTCGATACTCCAGGGGTTACGCTCACTTACTCTCTCTACAACCCTGGGAGATGTCGTAGCAAAATTGAAAGCTGTTTGATTGGTCTCAGATAACAAAAGCCCTGACCAATCGCTAGGCTGATACCTGTCCTTTGGAGAGTACAAAGGAGCGACACCCGACTTCAAAGCCTGTCAATTTCTACCGTTACGTGACCGCGAGATACTTTTCATGTACATCAAAGGATTGAACTTGTCTTCTCGACTCATCAACAATGAGCCTTCAATATTTTGCTATGTCATATTCTAGGTGTGCAGAGAGCGAAGGTGGGCGTAACCCCTGGTGTATCGAGGATGGTTATATTGGTCTTTATCCTATACTGCAAATCACACTCTTCGCGTTAACCTTAATGAGTTTGTATTCGCGAATCTAGTAACTTAAATTAAAGGTGCTACGTAAAGTTCCCTAGAACACGGAAGTCTGGCTTTGCATAAAAATACATCTATATTGTACAATGTGTTAATAGGGTCATTCTCTTCCGTTTGACATAGAAAGAGAAATCTCAATTTAAGGCAGCACGAGGCTTTTTTGAACGTAAGCTCTAGGTTTTGCCGAGTGCCAAACTTCGAATTTGCTATCATTGCTATGGAGCCATATATTATTTTCCTATACTTTTTTCAAACTATAAAAAAAGTTCCATCTTCAGTGGCTCACAGAAAGGGTGAAAATTGGTAACGTGACTATGGTAACGCTGCATAAAATGATGACGCGATGGTGACATTTTCAGAATAGTAGCGCGTTTGAGTTGTCTGGTTTCCATAGGTACAATGTAGGCAAGGACAGATTTAATTGTCTCTGGCAAAAGCACGAATGCGCGTGTGAAGTATTGGACAAATATATTACGCTTAGATATACATTTGTATATGTATTGATGGATCGTCTAGCTCTGGCGGTTTTAATGATGACGGTGCATTTACCTAATAGCTTAGATCTATATGCCATTATTACTTTGTATGTGGTCGTGGACTGGCGTCTACAAGACATTTTGTTTTAAAGGGTGATACAGTGACTGCAAATGGGGAGATTCCCGGAGGTAACACGAAGAAGGTAGTATCTGGATATAATAATCCTTTGCACAAGCGTCCTCTCTTGTCCAGATTGTTTGACGACACTATCCTGTCTATCTGTGATTACGTCTCCTACCATGATTGACAATACAGCTGTATACAACCACGTGGTCCGCGCTGTGACCTTGGCAGTTCAACTGTGAATTGTACGCTTGCATCCCGTTCTTGATCTATCACTGCCTCGATATTACCTTTATTCCTGCTGTATTTTCCGAGTTACCGTTACATACAATGCATATCCCTCCCATCTTCTCTGTTATTCTCTGTTCACCTGTGTCAACGTTTACTGTCTTTGATTGTCTATCAACACTGACCATTGGTCAAGATTTATGGCCTGTCAAAACTGACCACAGCTGTTCGTGCTATGTCGTTTCTTGCTATGTGCATGTAAAACATACCGCGGTGAAGTCTGTATTTTCTTGTCTATGTTACAAGTATTTTTGAATACTGCTCTATGTCTTTTACTGTTGCAAAGGTTTCCCCGCCTTACTCGTTCAAAATACTCTCGACTGGAAATGATATGACCTTAAAGCCCTGATTCTTTAATTTCTTTCTTTTTACTCCTATCCCCACGTTTCTGTATGAATCCGTATCCAATGATCGCCCTAGCAGACTTGGTCGTCATTGAACCCAGCTTCTGTGATGCACACGAACCTGACCTTGTTCCTCTTCGCTTTCCTTTCGCTTCCTAATCCAAATTGCTGTTTAAAACATCCAGTAGTTATTGGCAGGTCTTGGCATCATATACAAGTACTACTGAGCAACCAAGACGTCACATTTATGTTTTGTTCATTCTTGTTTCAATCGAAGGAAATGGAAAATAGTGACCATCTTTTGTCGAATTTTGACTACGCTCAGAACTCTATCTTCGTCCAAATTATATATTTACATGTACAATGAATGTAACTTCGAATCAGAAAGGGAACATATTTTGAATTTCAGGAATGTATCGTTCGCAAGATATGACATGTACTGATACTGCATTTTTGTCGAAGTTCGCTACAGAGTCTGTAATCGATGAAGGTTCCGGTATTATTCTTATAATCCTTTGTTACTGCAGATCGCCCTCCTTGACCCGAAAAAGAGCATGAACGTGAATATATTCCTGAAGCAGTTCCGGAAACCCATAGAGGTTGTCGTAGAACTCGTCAAAATGGGCGACAGTCGGGCGTTCGGTGTGGAGAAACTGAAAAGTCTACTTAAGATCCTCCCCGGTCATGACGAGGTAAGACAATACCAACAAGTAACTAAGTCGCATTGTTACTTATGCATGTACGGCTTGTCAAGATAAAGTGTCCTCTTCTGATTCATCAATATCATCTCCCTATAGGTGGAGATGCTTCAAAACTTTGACGGAGATTACAAACGTCTGGGTGAAGCAGAGAAGTTCTTTTCCCACCTTATCAAACTGGCATCCTACAAAGTACGAGTGGAGGGGATGATACTGAAAGGAGACTTTAACGCCCAGCTCGGATCTATCCGTCCGAACGTCACCACGCTCAACACGGCCTGTCGACGTCTGTTCGACAACGCCTCTCTCAAAACAGTTCTCCGTTACGTCCTTCACGCCGGCAACTTTATAAACAAAGTACGTACTTTACAACCAATTTTAAATCACTATTTGCTTGTGTATTTTTCCACTATGAAAACATCGGACCTGCTCGATTCATCGTAAATATTGACTCTTTCAATCTAAATTCAAAATCGCTTACCATAACAACTCGGCCCGAGTTTGTGTGGTTAAATATATTTTTAACATACAACGCGCCAAGCATTGATTAACGCTCATTATTTGCTGATTTATAATTTGTTTAAAAATAACTGAGGCATCTGTCTTTAATCATGTACATGCATTTTATAGGGTAGTGGATCAGGCAATGCTTTAGGATTTAGAGTCAGTTCTCTCAACAAGATTGCCTCCACAAAGTCCAACATAGCGCGGCTCTCGCTGCTCCACCTAGTGGTGGAGGAAATGGAGACTAAGGACGATCACTCTCTAGACTTCGTGGACGATCTACTGGACGTGCTACAGAAGGCTGCCAGGTATGTACAGTGTTATTCAGAAGAAAATCTCTATGACGTGTTAGTCCGAACGAGCTTACATTTGTATGTTAGGGTTCTTGTTCGAATGGAAGCGGTAAAATTCGAAGACAAACGTTTGCGTACTCACTACAAAGAAATTATGTTGGTTGTTTTGTGGTGTGATGTGATATTTGTAGAGCAGTTTCATATCGGCAAACCGTTTTTAAAATCGATTTTATCAATATCATATACCATGTATTATATGTATATCAATATGCAGGTGGGATGTTGTGCTTTAAATCATATCACAACACCAACAACATATCTATTTGCTGTATTTTTTGTGCAGCAAGCTCTGGGTTTTTAGCGAAATCCTTTATCAAATTTAATTTCTCGTTCCCATGTGTGTACAACTGCTTATACAAGTGTAGGAATACACGTAAAAAAATAGGTCACGCACATAGTTTGGTACAGAAATCCATTCATAAACAGTTCTACCCAACCTGGATTGCGTTACCTCCGAAAAAGTTAATACCCCCGCCCCCCAAAAACAAATGTGTAGCGGCTATCTATGATACGTATTCACGTCCCTATTATACAAGATTTAAAACTGGATATGTTATTTTATAAACTGCAGGTTCACACTTGAAAGCACGGTTAATGAGTTCTCCCAGCTGAAGAGGAGCGTGTTAGACTTACAGAAACAGATGGACAACGTGGAGAAGGAAGTAAAGGACCAGTTCTCCGAGTTCCTCGAGGTGCGTCACCGTTCTTATGTTCAAACTGAGAGAATGTGCTCAAACTTGATTCCTAATTCAAAACCGTTTAATATTTTTTTTTTGCTCTTGTATGTAAGTAAGTCACAATATTCGGACCACGGGGCAATCAGTAGTACACTGTACGAACCAATCAGAGGTTCACTGTACGGGCCAATCAGAGGTTCAGTTTGGAGGGCTAATTAGTGGTACACTGTACATGCCAATCAGAGGTACACTGTACGGGCCAATCAGAGGTTCAGTTGGGAGGGCTAATCAGAGGTACACTGTACGATCCAATCAGTGGTACACTGTACGGGCCAATCAGAGGTTATGTTGGGAGGGCCAATTAGAGGTACACTGTACGGGCCAATCAGAGGTTATGTTGGGAGGGCCAATCAGAGGTACACTGTACGAGCCAATCAGAGGTACACTGTACGGGCCAATATGAGGTTCTGTTGGGAAGGCCAATCAGAAATTGAAAAATATAGGCCTGGTAAATATATATGCGCAATATTTATAAAGGAAACAAAGTTAACTGTTTGTGTTAAAAACATACTTCGCGTTTATTACTCGTATCAAACTAATGAACCTCATTCCGACCAATCAGAGTTACATTGTACAAAGGAAACAGAGACATTTTTGTTTTATTGCAAATGAACTTCTACAAGTGTTCATCCCTGTCTTTCTGAAATCCCGAATGTGCCACATTACATTCTAAACTTGTATTATTGTCCTTATCTTTTCTAACTAGGATGCGGAGGCGGATCTGGAAGACGTGGACGAAGGAATAGAACGGATACGCAAACTTTCTACGCGGTTAGCAAAGCATTATTGTGAGAACGAACGGACATTCAAGCTAGACGAGTTTCTAGATACATTCCGAGATTTTTGTGAAAAAATCAAAGCTTGTCAGCAGGTAAGTTTGCCGATTTAATGACAGAGTTATGAAATACTAGTCGGCTCAGTTCCTTTAAATGTTTAAATTTTGATTCAAGGATAATAAAATGAGGTATGCCTCAATGCTTACATTGAGACAATTTTCATTGTGATAAAACTTCCTTAATGTTTTTTCTGCTCCATACTCGATATCCAGGGGCTACTCTCACTTTCGCTCTCTACACCCCTGGAGTATATCATAGCAAAATTGAAGGCTCAGTGTGCGCCACCTTGTGGATGAGACGAGAAGACGAGTTCGATCCTTTGATATACATCAAAAGAATTTCGCGGTCAGGTAACGGTAAAAATTGCCAGGCTTTGAAGTCGGGCGTTTCTCCTTTGTAATCTTCAAAGGACAGGTATCAGCCTAGCGATTGGTCAGTCTTATTTACCTGACACCAATCAAACAGATATCTTCTAGCCTTCAATTTTGCTATGACATATTTCAGGGGTATAGAGAGGGAAAGTGAGCGTAACCCGTGGATATCGAGGATGTTTCTGTTCGTGCTTGGATTTAAATTAACACTATACTTATGGTTATCTTCTGACTTCTCGTGCGTTGAATCCGATTTTATCCGTTTTGTTCCTTTTCTTCTACGTTAGCGTCAATATTGCAGGGAATTTCATCGACGTTATGTTTTAATTCTAGGAACTTCAGTCTAAGAAACAGGAGGCAGAATCGGCGGAAAAGAGGAAGAAAGTGAAGGAGGATATCCAAGAACGCCGTAAAAGTACGATACACGTATATAAACAGAACACATTACATATCCAGCACACACGCAGGCATACACACATAGGGAGACATTAGCCAGGTGGCATATGACTAGTAGTTGGCGCCTCCTACGAATTCCTCAAAAAATATATTGATAAATATATATGCTAATTGTATTAATTGTACATCTATGTACTGTAAAGCGCTTCAGAGTGGCTTATATTAGCTAGATAGGGCGCTATATCAAGTGCTGTATATTATTATTATTATTTTTATTTATTTATACATTATTAATACCAAACTTTCGTTTAACCAAATCTTTATATCGTTGTTGTAAAACAAAGCAAATGAGCTTTCTTTATGGCGTACCTTGCGGCGTTTTACTTGTCTTTGACAATGCTTTCTTGTTTAAATATACAATGAATATTCATAGAAATGGTATATTTCTCCCTGTTGAATTTTCTATCAAGTTATTGTTGTTTGTTGATAGATACCCTGTCTCCTTTCGGACACACCCAGGATCGTAAGATCGTGGACAACATCGTCAGTGAGATACGGAACGGGCAAGTTTTACGGAGACTTTCACTTCGTAAAAAGAATGCCGATTACTCCACCGCCAGATCCGGTGGAAAGTGACCAATGAGGAAGGGCGTTACATCTCCATAGACTGTGATAACCTCGGTGACAAATATCTGATGTTCTTCAACTTGGAAAGTCGCACGTGCAGACAGCCATTTATATGCTCCAGTTGTTTATAAACTTGATCCAGTGCCTTCGTGTCTGATATGTCTCTAGCCAAGCCACGTGAAAGCGCGAGCTTGTGAAATGCTATCCATTTAGTATACAATCAAAACCTATCATGAAAATAACCTTAACGCCGTGTGTCTGACACATTATACTGTAGGATCAGGGCCAACGTCTCTAGTCCATCAACAAGTCGGTGTGATTATTGTGTTATATTTATTGTGAATAAATTGCTGATATATATAGATATTTAATATATCTTACATAGTTTTGGTATTATTTTACAATTTTATGTTTTATAGAGAAAACCAGCATTTAAGTCCCGCAATTTTCTACTGTTTTTTCATGTGCAACGTCATTTCCAAAGAGTACAACATTAGTGTATTTATATTCAAATAATTGCACCCATAATTATCAATTAAAGATACATGTAGGTTTAATAAGTCTTATTTTACATGTTAGCTTCAACTCAGTTGAAAATATGTTCAAACAAAATTAATTCTGTAATTAAAAGAATGTGTAAAATTTAAAATTGAATTGAACCCTCCAGTGGCGGATTTTTGGCTTCAGGAACCCCCACCGGACCCTGAGAATTTTCTTTAAAAAATCATGTATTTTCACCATTTTTCTCCATTTTCCCCCACTTGGAACCCCCCCTGGAAATTTGGAAACCCCCCAGATAGGTCTCTGGATACGCCACTGCCCTCTTTAGTTTCTTTGAGTCTATCTTTAATCATTTGTACCGATCTTCAATTGTACAGAAACTGAAAAGTGACTAAAAGTTGAAGTGACCATACCACACGTGACGACTGACAATATGTTACTGTATCAGTCATTTGCTGATAAAAACAATGATGGATCAAACTGGTATTAAATACGATACGTTTTAGCGGTTTAGATCAACGCTCGTTGAAGAGGAACAGACACCAGAGTTACCTCCCTTCGTTCAATCTGTTCGCCATCTCGTGCAAGATTTAGGAAACGAACCTAGAAAAACGTTACTTTTACAACATTCGGGTAGTCTCGACTAATTTTGTCAACTATGTGACATTAAAATCGTCTCGTAAACATCACATGGACTTAAACAAAAATAACAGTATGTATGTTTAAATGGCAAGCCAGGATAGAAAAAAGTCTTTTTTTTTTCATTCTAGAAATAAGTTTTGATATTAATATGAATTTCATATGAAAGGGAATCAATTTCAAATATTGATAAAATGATTTTCTTATATAAATCGATGATGTAATATTTGGTATAGGATATTTTCCCATTTTGGCTTGACATATATTTAGAACAATACTGATGTAAATATACAAATGTTGGTACATCGTAGTGAAATTGAGCTGGGGCTAGAGTTACCTCCCTTTGGTTAGCCTGCATACAGATTATTGTATAAAACTTGGCATACAAAATAAGTACTTCTGTTTTTGACTGATGTTAAAACATAAAAATAACCCAGGCCAGACCGCAGAGACTTGAAGACATAGAATGGGATTATTTTACACCTATCTTGATGTAATATAAAACGTTTTATTAAACAAATGCATAGCAGATCGAGGTACCGGCGCTATCTATCTGAAGTTTATTCATTTCGATTAGTCAGTTTCACGTTTTCATCTCCAAAGAAATCCTTTGTCGGGAAAAACAGGTGTCGGGGTGAGTATCAAATGTCTCGTATTAAGTGTAAACGAATCAAATGTCTTATATCACACATCAAAAATTTGCGAATATTTTTTTAGTGACGATGCAGCCATTGTAATACTTCTTGTGAAATGTCATTCTTCACTGGTAAAACATGAGAAAACCTTAGTATAGGCACGAACTTAGATAGTTATTCCGAGGTATAGGTGTTGTCATAAAATGGCAGTTATCAGATACAGAACGGTACTAGCATTGATGACGTATAGACGTTCGTGATTCGTGTGATGACGCAACAAAAGTGTTAACACCGCTCGTTAAAGCGACATCACGATGAAATTAATCCTTTTGATATATTCTTTTTGGGTCAAATACTGCATAAGTATATCAATTGATCTTCCCACGTAAAATTTCGGCTGTTTGCGTCATTTCAGATAACGTCTTATTAACAGCTAATGTCAGTTCAGGACTTGCCTCCATGTGTATTGTGTAAGCGTGCATGCGTGTATGTGTGCCGGAGACAGGGTACATGTAGGTGTATTTGCCTCCTTGTGATAGCGCAGATCTGATGCTGACTTTATAGTGCTATCTGACTGACATACCAGCCGAACCTGCGAGATAGTATGCATTATATGTCTGTCATAAGTATTAACTCCAATGTCAAATATACTTTCGAAGGTTACCTGTGTTAAGCACATTTACGAGTTACCTCCCGTTGAACGATCCACAAGACACAGTATAATTACTTATTTCGTTATGCGAATTCGTCTCTTACATTTATAATTCATGTTTTAAGCAATGGTTTAGGTACACAGCTATTTCAAACATATCACCTCATACATTTAGCTTTGCTGTTTATCTTTTTTCTTGTTTGCATTGCTTTAAACAAATCAAATTTTGAAACAAAATGAGTGAATGACTCGTTAAACCAATGCAGCTTTGAAAAACCGACCACTGAACGGTCGAACATGCGTTGCGGGCGATCAGGTGAGTTCACAACACTCAAATCGACACTTTCTTGATATTCACCACGAATTCGAAGATAAGACAACATTTGAGTTTCTAGCATTCATTTAATTTACAAGCGTAGCACAGCGAACGTTTTGGTTTCGATTTGGTTTAGTTTAATCGGTCTTCATGTTATATTTACAGCTGAGGTACATTTAAGGACACGCCTCTATCTGTGTAATACACGCGTGCATGTGTGTACATGTATGTCTGATGACGGCGGTATGTTCGAGGCACCAAGCATGGCATTCTACCCCGTTACATTATACTGTCGACAAAGTGCACCAGGGACACGCGAACCCGGATTCGAAACCCTTTACGAATGCTCAATGATGGAGTACTGAGATATAAGGTTTTAAATTTCTGATACCATTTGGTCCAGTAAACTGTCAAACGTGGATGCTATATAGGAATCCCAAGTCGTGTGCTCATCAAGTAAAAAGTACATGTACTGAGTGAGCTGTATACTTGTAATGGATGTCAACGGGATCATTATATAACGTCAACACAGTCGGACCTTTTTTCAAAGATAGGCACATGCACAGATATGAATAAAACTAGTGACGACATGGTGGGATCAGTAATGATATCCGGCTACAAACCCTGGTAGAATTAAATTATTGATAAAGTGTATAGATTCAATGGCTCGTGAGTCGATATGTACGTACACGAACCCCTTTGTACTAAGGTTACGCTGTTTGGGTTTGTTTTAAACTGATCCATGACCAGTATGTAAATATAGCACGAACACGGTACCCGACAGATCACTATACACATTAGCTAGAGATTACCCGTGTACGTAGTAACATACAGGTATATTGACAGCTATATGTGGTATCCGGTTAAAGTGCCAACATATAGGACATTTCGTAATGTGTCGTCTTATGGAATTTCATCATACTTAAACAGAAACGTACGTAAGTATATATATTAATGTGGTCTGCTATTTGAAACAATATTTTCTCTTCTTCGTTGCAGATTGCTTCAGTGTGTTTGTGACGTCAGACATTTTTGTTGTATAGAATCGTATTTATTTTAAATGGAAGATCGATTAAACTTCACCGAGGATAGATAGTGCTTGTACAAGCAGAGGAAGGTAACGTCTCTATATAGCATAAATTTACATTGTGCTAACATTTTAAGTAAATTGTAAACGTAGGCGATCGTATGATACTAGGTTTAAGCAGACGATATTACTGTTGATGATACCGTGTTTACACAGACGATATTACTGTTGATGTTAGGGGTTAACACAGACGATATTACTGTTGATGATACCGTGTTTACACAGACGATATTACTGTTGATGATAACGTGTTTACACAGACGATATTACTGTTGATGATAACGTGTTTACACATGTGATATTACTGTTGATGATAACGTGTTTACACACATGATATTAATGTTGATGATAACGTGTTTACACAGACGATATTACTGTTGATGATAACGTGTTTACACAGACGGTATTACTGTTTATGATACCGTGTTTACACAGACGATATTACTGTTGATGATACCGTGTTTACACAGACGATACTACTCTTGATGATAACGTGTTTACACAGACGATATAACTGTTGATGATACCGTGTTTACACAGACGATTTTACTGTTGATGATACCGTGTTTACACAGACGATATACCTGTTGATGATAACGTGTTTACACAGACGATATGACTGTTGATGATAACATGTTTACACAGACGATATTACTGTTGATGATACCGTGTTTACATAGACGATATTACTGTTGATGATAACGTGATTACACAGACGATATTACTGTTGATGATAACGTGTTTACACTGACGATATTACTGTTGATGATAACGTGTTGACACAGACGATATTACTATTTATGATAACGTGTTTACACAGACGATATTACTGTTGATGATACTGTGTTTACACTGACGATATAACTGTTGATGATAACGTGTTTACACAGACGATATTACTGTTGATAATACCGTGTTTATCCAAACGATATTACTATTGATGATAACGTGTTCTATATGATGCAAATATTGCTTTTATCATACATATTTATGTAATTTATTCTTTTTTCTTTCATCACAGTTACCATGAGAAGATTGACTGGGTCAGTGACCAGGAGATGTACGCTTCTCGTGTTATCGATTTGTGTACACGCAGGTTAGTACATGTGTATGAGTTTGATTTAATCACACATCATGGTAATTACGAACATGAATATTATAATGGGTAGGTTATGGGTGGTAATGGTTATCTGTTTACCTGTCCGTCTGTTGGTATTATTACGCATATGTTGATATACAACACCCTCGACCGCGCCTACGTCACCATGACGTAAAGACATACTTATTCTTAGAAAGGCGTTTAGTGCTCAATGATAATACTGATGACGTCAGACTATAATGACATTCTTAAAACTAGAGACATAATTGCTGAATTTTGATAAGCAGTATTACGATTTTACTAAACTGTACTCAATACTTTTACAGAACTAATCGATACTATTGATTTCAGTACCATCTGTTAATTCACACTATATTATTAGTGTACAGTATTAATTTATTTTTTTATTCTATATTAGCATTGCGTACTCTATTCCACTCTATGGTGATATGATCCTTAGTCGTTATATCACGGACTTAGTCTAATCGAATTTCGTGGTTCTCTGTACTAAGTCTTATAGTGAGATATGCAAGTTTTAGCTTTTAAATGATGTCTTCTTGAGTATCTTATTCTTAATATAACTTATCTGGGATCGGAGTTCACGCTGCTTTGTTATATTTGAATTTGAATTTCATATTAAATGTATTCTCATTATTTTTAATGTTCCTTAAGTGTCATGACTTGCAGTTCCCTAAAGGAAGGGGTTTCCCATAAACTAGAAACATGAGCTATGATAACGTTACCTTTCATTGTGATAGGATTTAATACATTTATGTATAAGCTATCTGTGATAAATCCTGTTCATGTGATAAAACAATATTTATTTTGTTTTCCTTGCATATGTTTGTCGCAATAATAGATCACAATACGACTCTAAATCAGGTTTCTTGTATCTTGTATCTTGTAACATGCACGATTTGTTTCAAAATTACTTTTTTACTACGTAGGAAATAGCTTAATTTTAATGACAATGTTTTAGTTCTACAAAATAACTTTTCTTATTAAACTAAGTAAGACGGAATCGCTGAAAGTGTAACGCTATCTTAAAAACCGCCATTACACCTTATTTAAGTTTTTGACAATGTTAAGATTTATTCAAAGTAAGATTTTACTAAATTAAAGTAAAAATAATTGTTGAAATTTTGTGACAATGTTGCGATTTCTTCGGATTTACGATAACTAATGTTCGTTTGTCTAATCCTGGCCCTGGTGATCAAAATAAAGACCTCTCTATATTTCATTTAAATATTCGCAGCCTTCGGAATAAGTTGTCCTACTTGGAACATGTATCTAGTGATTTCGATATATTTGTATTACTGAGACTCACCTAGACATGGCCGTAGCAGACGATGACATACTCCTGGATGGTTATAACATGCTCCGTAAAGATCGTGGAACTTCGGGTGGGGGGATAAATGTTTACACTTCTGGCTCCCTGTGCACACGTCGTAGAATTGATATAGAATTTCAAGTAGGTGAAGTTGTTTGGGTAGAAATCCAGTTTCCCAACAGGACATATCTTTTATGTACTGTGTACAGACCTCCTAGTTGCACACATATATTTTGGAATCACTTTCGTCTTTCTCTGGAAACAGCCATGAATGAAACTCCTTTTGATATAGAATTTCAAGTAGGTGAAGTTGTTTGGGTAGAAATCCAGTTTCCCAACAGGACGTATCTTTTATGTACTGTGTACAGACCTCCTAGTTGCACACATATATTTTGGAATCACTTTCGTCTTTCTCTGGAAACAGCCATGAATGAAACTCCTTTTGATATAGAATTTCAAGTAGGTGAAGTTGTTTGGGTAGAAATCCAGTTTCCCAACAGGACGTATCTTTTATGTACTGTGTACAGACCTCCTAGTTGCACACATATATTTTGGAATCACTTTCGTCTTTCTCTGGAAACAGCCATGAATGAAACTCCTTTTGATATAGAATTTCAAGTAGGTGAAGTTGTTTGGGTAGAAATCCAGTTTCCCAACAGGACGTATCTTTTATGTACTGTGTACAGACCTCCTAGTTGCACACATATATTTTGGAATCACTTTCGTCTTTCTCTGGAAACAGCCATGAATGAAACTCCTTTTGATATAGAATTTCAAGTAGGTGAAGTTGTTTGGGTAGAAATCCAGTTTCCCAACAGGACGTATCTTTTATGTACTGTGTACAGACCTCCTAGTTGCACACATATATTTTGGAATCACTTTCGTCTTTCTCTGGAAACAGCCATGAATGAAACTCCTTTTGTTGTAATCGTAGGGGATGTAAATGTTGACCTCCTCACTGTTGACAATTACCATGCTCTTCTAGACATTATACATTTTTACCACCTGACAAACGTTATCGACAGCTAGACCGACTAGAATTGGACGCACGTGCAACACGCTACTTGACCCTGTTCTTCTATCAGACACGTGTAATTTTACGATATCGGACGTAATTGACATAGACCGCGACATTTCGGACCACCAAGCAACATCTGTTGAACTGACTGTGGGGACAAATATTGTAAGAAATTATAAGAGGAAACTTGTTTGTTATAAAGACGCAGATTACGAACGGTTTAACAATTTACTTTTATCAATTGACTGGGCTGAACTGTTTTTTAAGAATCCATTCTCCGGACGATATGTGTGACATTTTTACATCTAGATATTTAGAATTAGCTGACGATTGTATTCCTTCCAAATTTGTTACAATTAGACCTAATGACCAACCTTGGTTTAACTCTGACCTGAGACGTGAAATAAGGAAAAGAAACAGACTTCTCCAAAAATATAAATCCAATCGCACTCCAAATAATTTGAACAACTTTAGGAAACAACGAAATGGTGTAAACAATCTGAAAAAAAGGACAAAAGAATTATTTATGCAGTGAATACAAATCCTAGAAACTTTTGGAAACTAGTCCGCAGGTTAATAAAATCATCCGACACATCTAATAGTATACCGCCGTTAAGGAGTGCGACTGGAAATATAGAAGACGATGACGACATAAAGACTAATATACTAAACGATTACTTTGTTTCAATATCTACTCTAGACGATACTAACATTGACGTACCTGTTATAGAACCTAGAACAGACTCGACCATTTCAGACATACCGTTTAATATTAATGACATTATCGACATTCTTAAGACATTAAAAATCGGTAAAGCTGTAGGAAAGGATACTATTAGTCATACCATGCTAAAGAATACCTCTAATTCAGTTGCTTATCCTCTTTCATTGATCTTTCGCTCATCTTTGGAAACTGGATCTTTTCCCAAACAATGGAAACATGCTCTAGTTATGCCGTTTTTTAAAAAGGGCGATAAACAAGACCCTTCAAATTATAGACCTATTGCACTACTAAGTACTATTGGTAAAGTTTTCGAAAGATTAGTCGCTAAATATTTACATAACTACCTTTTAGATAATTCTCTCATATATAAATATCAGTCAGGTTTTCAACCAGGTCATTATTTTGTACACAAGCTTATAGAAATATATCATACTATGTGCGACAATCTTGAAAAAAAACAGCCAACTTGTCTAATTTTTTGTGATATTTCTAAGGCGTTTGATCGAGTGTGGCATAGGGGACTGGAAGTGACTTGGAAATAGTAGATCTTCTGTTAAGAGCACAAATGCAGGAGTACCTCAGGGTTCGGTTCTTGGCCCATCGCTGTTTATACTATATATTAATGACATACCAGATAATATAGAAAGTCTATCAAAACTTTTTGCTAATGACACCTCTCTTTTGTATTAGGATAAATCACCACAAGTAATTGAACAAAAAAATAATGATGATCTCGAAAATATACAATTGTGGGCAGATAAGTGGCTTGTCAAATTCAATCCTGCAAAAACAGAGGCTTTACTTATTTCTAATATTGATCTTGATCACCTCATTGAAATTAACTTGTAAGTATTGAATTTGTTGAAAACCATAAGCATCTGGGAGTATTCATCAATGCTAACTGTAAATGGACCTATCACATTGATAATATATGTAAAAAAGTAGTTAAACAATTAAGCGTCCTCCGTAAATTGAAATATATCCTGAACCGACGTACACTGAATAAAATTATAGAACATTTATACTTCCTATTCTAGAATATTGTTGTGAACTTTGGGATGGTTGTTCTATTACTGATTCAGACAAATTCGAAAAATTACAACTTGAAGCTGGACGTATTGTCACTGGTTTACCGTCGTTTATAAGTAGACAATCTATATACAATGAAACTGGATGGGATTCTCTTGCCCATCGGAGATCCCGTCGAAAACTTCAATTATTTTTTAAAATCCACAATAATATAGCTCCTAACTATCTCAACAATCTACTCCCTTCCCTTGTCGTTAACTCTCACTATAATCTTCGAAACGTTGAAAACTACAACCTACCTAACAATAGACTTTAATTATCTAACATATCCTTTTTTTCCTTCTACTGTTAGACTGTGGAACCAGTTACCTACTAGTATACGACGTAGTGCCACGTTTTCATCATTTAGAAACGCCATTCAAGACGTAAACTTGCCGCTTGTACCAAACCCTTTTTCTATGGTGATAGGAAAAATATAACGAACAAAGAATTAAGCTTTATCGTGAACTGAATGAATACATGCCTCTTAATTTAAATCTACTTTTATTTGGAGATACATCTCTTTCGGAACAGGAAAACATAACGATATTCATGCATACTCAGCAATACATTCGTGACTCTAACATATTCTAGTAACACCCACCCCCCCCCCCCCCCTTGTCCCCTCTCTCTCTCTCAATTGAACCATAATATCCACTCTCTCTAAGAGGCAGATACTATATGTCAATACATTAATAATGATGAGGATGTATGTATTACAATTACAGACTATTATTCCCCCTCTCCCCCCTCTCCCTTCCCCCTCCCCCCATTTTCTCCCTCTGTCTCTCTCTTATAATTTCATTTTATAAATTAAAGCATTTAAAAATGAAATAGTATATATGTATATTAATTCTGCCATCTTGTTGTACTATTGTAAATATATGCTTGTAATTTTCTAGGAAAGGGCTTAATATAAGTTTGATAACTTGTGCCCAATCCATTTGCTTGGCAATAAAATATGTTTAAACTAAACAAAACAACAGTTTTGAAACAATATTAAGTGAATCTCAATCGGAAACCGTCGACACTTTCCGATTTTTTTTTCTCGTTTACGGAAAGTGCCGACGATTCCCGATTGAGAGTATAAGGCGAAATAATGGTCCGCAAGGTAGAGTGTCCTTCCTGTTTCCTGAAAATTTCATCTCCAGAAATACTGGTCTTCAGTAAGACATCATTTATCTTGTCTCACATTGCCTAAAGTAATACAGTGTATGGCCTGTTTTGAAGTTAGAGTCTCATATGTACGTGTTGCCTCGTCGTAAACCGGTCGATATGTAGTACCGACGTAAGCTTATATGCTTGGCAATGTTCGTCAATTGTCGTACATGTCTGTATGTCACGTTCTACCTTTATTATTAACTAGGTGATCGATAGCAATGCTCTGGTCTATTAAATACACTTATCTGGACTATAACAAAGAAACACCACGGTTCGTCACTGTAATTATTATTCAGGCTTTGTGTGATTGATTTTAGATTAATTTACGTCGATAGAGAAGATTTTTTTTCTTAATATATAAAACCATACAGGCTATAGCTATTTCCCCCTTGTTCCTACTCGAGCGCATTTTTCTGTGAGGTACTTTACTTTCACATAAATTGAATACTAAAGCAGATAAACCGTTATGCCCGAACCGGAGGATAACGTACTGCATTTCAAACAGCTGGATTTAAGAAACAATGGTAAATTGTCTTCCTATACATGTAAATGAAATCACATTCCGACGTCGGCGGGCACTCTACCGACTGTGATATACCCCCTCCCCATACAACTCCGGTTGTTATTGGTGTTGATTTAAGGGTTGTCTTTGGATGTGATTTACCCTCTCATTGCTCGTCATTTGTTTCTGTTGAATTAAGGATTTGGACAGCGATGCGTCTCGACAAAGCTGATAGCAGACGACAACTATAGGGTCCTGGAATCGCCATCTTATGGGTCCTATTCAAAGTGAGTTGTTCTAAACTGTAAGGGCTGCTACAAGATGCGGAACAATCATTTTGTCTGTTTTTAATAGTAACGTTTTCGGGTAAAGCCCTGGCGAACCTGCAAATTATGTTTATCCAAGCTTTGACGAGGTTCGTCTGAAAGCAGCATCAGATTACTATAAGTCCGATCTTATGTCATAAACGAACAACACTGGTCCAACCGGTTCAACCGTTTGGATCGCGGTAAACGCGACAAACAACAAACTCCTGTACGGCTACAGGATCCCAACGCTGGTAACCAACCGTAACAGGCGACTAATGTTGGGCTTCCCAAAGAATTGGGATGGTTTCTTCCATGTCTTCTAGATCTGTTTAAGGGACATTCGAGAAACCGAGAATAGACCTACTGTGTTCCCCTGCCTGTGTATCGTAAGAGGCGAGTAATGTGGAGCCAATGCATAATCGGGTTTTCCTTCAGTGTCTTCTACTTAAAGGACAAGGGAGATACAACGTATCAGAATGTATCTGATACCGCAATTGCCAAACACTTCGAAGCTGTTTTTTCCGCCCTACCTTCCCTACCTTCTCTTTCTTTCCTCTTTTTCCTATATTCTCTCTGTTTCCGTTATTGACCTTGGGACGCTAAACCCCGAAAAACTTAAAATATTACATTAAATTACTTGAAGACTTGAACGATGTACATTACAGTGACGTCAACTGGTGTCGTCGGATCATAGCAGAAGAGGACAGGGTAATCATCATCACACTGGAGCACGTGGACCTTGAAGGCCAATCCGGAAGCTGTGTCGACTACCTTGAAGTACGAGATGGTACGTATTTCCGCTTCCTGAAATTTAGACTGGTTAAACAAAATTAAGAACTGAAACGCTTCACCAGGTGTTGTTATCCTTTAAACCAATGCTCTGTTTTTTTACGTGCTAGGTTTAAAGTTGTATATCTTCTGAAGATCATTGGCCTCACGGCCATAAATCTATATTTACATTCTGTGTTGCATTTGCCTATATGTCGTTAGTAAACCAAATTGCAGTATATGAGACTGTATACTACAATTTACAGCGATACGGCCAGTGTAGGAATACAGCTGGTACAAGGTAAACAAACATGGCCGCCCGATACTTTCGGTATCAATAGGCCTACTGTATAGTCGGAAAACATTCTGGGTTCGTCAGCATTTAGCAATATAGGTCATCGCAAAAAAATAAAGCAACTTGACAAATTATGATAATATAAATTTATTATAAGATGAGTAGGTACCACAAAATTATTGTAAGCGCCATTCTAGATACGAAATTACCAATTTTGTCATCGTCATCACACAGGGGATCGGTTACGAGATTTTGAGTTATGCATAACATCAGTGAATAACCACAACACTAAAATTCAGCATTTCTAAAACCTTGTAAAAGTCGAGGGTATCGACAAGGTTTTAGAATGTGTATAAATACCTTTTTAAGTGTTGTGGTTTTTCAGTGATGTCATCCATTACTCAAAATAACGAAACCGAGCCCCTGTGAACGTCGTCTGAGTAGCGATGCTAATCTGACCGATTAGACATTGAATCTATTTCAAACGAAATGTCCTTGGAATCGTTATCACCTACTGAAAGGACCACTCTAATTAAGCATTTCCGAGTATATATGCTTCTGAAAATAACGTAATATTCCAGTCGAAGGAAACATAAGCGTTTCCGAGGAAACAATCAAGTCCGTTCAGCGCCGCATCACTTCAAAATACATGTAATCTATCAATGCGCGAAAAAACAGCTTTAATTTCAAACAAGCAGAAGTTATGCAATTATTAACAACTTTTCAACATATACACACTCATATGAAATAAATAATAAAGTTAAGTTTGTGTTCAAACCATTTTATGTGCGTGTGGTTTTCAATGTCGGCTGTTCTGGGATTTGAACTTACTGACGTCACTGATATGATAAGCGGGAAATTCAAACGTATTTTTGCTTCAGTTACTATACAAAACAAACTATATACATGTAAATGTAAATATAAGCGTTGAACCGTTACCAGATGCAGTATACAGTCGATATATATGCAATTTGGGTCACAGATAAAAATTCATGTCGCCCTAACGGGCGACATTCTATTTATATGTCACCCAAATTGAATTCATATCGACTGTATACTGCATCTGGTAACAGTTCAATGCTTAAAGGTATGTAACAATGGGACTAGAATTAAGGACGCCGTGTTATTCTTTAATTATTTTGTCGATTATTGAAATGAAGTAATCGCCATCGATTCGGCTGACATTTATCAAAATATCACTTATTATCGAGTATCTTATAAAGGTAAATTTTGTATATTTGTTAGGAACTGGGTTGACTTTCCCCCCGAAAAGTTCAAAATATTGTAATGATTTATTTCATAAATAAAGGAAGAGATACATTTAAAAATGATAATCTACTGGTTGTTTCTGCATGCAGTCGCAAAGCTTCCACAGTTAATTTTTCTGTAAAGCAGAAGATAAGTAACTCAAGCTAGTTTCGACATCATTTCGCGGATGTATACAATAGAGTGGGATCGTAAATCTGTGTATACCTGTTGTTAGTCTTGTGGCAGTAAAAACAAGAAGTATCATCTAGATGCAATTCGTAAGAGACAGATCAAATGTTGGACATTGCCGTTTTTGTGTAAAACAAAGATGTTTGAAGGGTTGCCATTTTCAGATGTACAAAATATATTTCATTTCAATAGAGAGGTTCAAAATCATGCGTTCGATCTTAAAATTTTGCCTAAAAGAAAATGTCACCGTTTGTTTAGTGCCTATAATCTTCCACCACTTCAATTAAACAGCCATAAACTGCAGAGAAGATCTGTGTATTGCCATTAGTATCCCAGCAACAAAACAACAAACGAAATAGTTCCGGTTGGCTGATCAGCGGGTGTCACTTAAACATGCCAACACATTGCTCTTCGTGTATTTTAATTGGAATATGTGGTGCAGGTGTGCATTTATGTTAATATAATATTGAATTAACTATATAAACATGTAAACATGTGCACATGAGATATATCGATCATTATTAAACGTGTTAGACTAACTATCTGAACTCTGTGTAAACTCTGATTAGTGTTGTACTGAAGATATACTTGGAAGGTATAATAATATACCTAGAGAACGTAGATATTGTAAACAGTGTAACTCCCCCTCTGAATTAGAGGACGAATTTCATTTTTTATTGGTCTGTTCTAAATTCCAAAATCTCAGATCTCGTTTTATCAAAAGCTATTATTGGAAAAAACCATCTGTGTTTAAAGTCGTCCAGTTATTGAGTGTCCATAATATTAAAGAATTGTGTATACTAGGAAAATTCATATATGAGGCAAACAAATTAAGGGTATTATAATGGAATATGATTGTTTTCATCCTCTGTACATTGTCCATGATTTGTTTAAAAAAAAATGTTTTGTATACTGATGGGCCAATGGCCCAAAGTTTGAATAAAACTTGAAGATGAAATGTAAATTCTGTTTTAAAAATCCCATCTGAACACAAAGTTATGATGTTTTGAATTTCCGATCCTTGCAAAAGTCGCAACTTTGAAACGCTCTTTGACCGTGACTCATAATGTATAAACAGGCCCACGAGATACGAAACCCATAGCAACATTATAGACAAAAACGGAAATACCATCTTCATTCTAGGTATTAAGAGTTGCGAATTAAAATCCATCGGAAGAAACTATAGGTTTTCACACCGCATCTTGCCCAAATGATTTCAAGACCTACATTTATATGCATCATGGGTTTTTGACTTTTGGTATGAGCTTCCTACATACATTTACATCATCCTTTTCGCTCCATGTGACATGCGCACAACTTGTTATTCCCTAACGCGACGCGTGCTATACGTGTTACCATCACGTGACTTGTGTACTGTTCCCTCGTGAAATGTTCATTACATGTTTCCCTACGTAACGTTCGCAACAAATCTCTTTGATTTTCCACACAGGCGGTCACCCCCGTGACGAGTCATTGGGTCGGTTCTGTCAGACAAACTCCACCACCATCAAGACGACGTCTGACGAAGCCTTTCTACGTTTCCGGACGGGCAGGACAGGAACAGGCACCGGGTTTAAACTCGGGTACCGTCAGAGCGAAAGCACAGAAGGTAGGTATTCCCACTCGTAGAAACAAAATAAATGTTTGCAATGTTTAAAACCGTCAAACTGTAGTTGAGTAGCACAAGCTTTAATGAACATGAATTTCGTCATGGCTCTCTCCCTACATATGTACTACTTCTCTCAGTCTATATCTGCCTCGTGTAGGATTAGATGGAAAATCTATTTCATATTTTTTGGTAAAATAAATGTTGTTCATATATCTAGGAAAGATTTGACGAAACATTTTCCTCGGGCTTGCAGATATAGATTGTATATACATGATCATACAGAAACGCCCGTTAAATTTGAATGTGTGACGTTTTAATTACAAGCACGGTTGATAATATGTATACATGTAATTGATCGGTGTTAAACAAAGCATAGCCGGACCCATTTGTCGATTTGATCTGTTTTTCGTACATCAATAACAACTTTGTGTATTTACGCTTAAAGCATAGCCGAATCCAATTGCTATTATATTGCCAAGTTGTACATATATTAAACCTTGCAATCGGTAATTAACCGTCGACACTTTCCGTAAACGAGAAAATACGAGTGTATTCTCGGTATTTTTCTCGTTTACGGAAAGGGCCGACAGTTCCCGATTGTTAAACCTTGGTGTACACGTGTACATACGCTTTAAATGCACCAGTCATTTGTTAGATGTAGCCAGGGTATATCAGTACAGATATCATGCTAGTAATCAAGAAACACTAACATTTCACTGGTTGTGTTGTATAATCCTGTATACAAAAGGATGGGACATTTATACTTTATGTACAGATTGTAGTAGTGTCTGAAATGAAGGAAATTTGGTCATCTGGCGTTACGGAGTACCACTTGACTAAAATAATAGGTTTTATCATCTTTCATCAAATGTGATCGATTTTTTGGCAGATGAAATGTGGAGCTCAGCACTTGCGGGGATAGCAGGCGGAATAGCTATCGTCTGGATAGTGATGTGTTGCTGTTGTGTTTGCACCAAAAAGAAAAAAGTGATTAACAGAGACCCGTCCACTATTCATCCTATACAAAACTACAGCATGGATGAGCAATCGTCCAGCGCCTTCAGACAGAATGGCGACAGGGTATCTCCGCCCCGTCTCTGGGAAAACCCTAATCGTGACAGTAATAGCTCCAGCATATATCATATTGTGTTTCGGACTAACAGAATAAAGCAGGAACAAAAAATCAACCGGACGAATCTGGAACCGACCAAACCTCCCGTGTATGAGGTACAGGACCCCTCCCCCGGAAAACTACCAGCGTACGAGGACATCGTGGAGGAGGAGTTTTCTCGGGTCATTTCTCCTCCTCCCACGTATAGGGAGCGCGCGCAAGAGGATGTGACGTCACCGATTCCAATGTCCCCTCCTCCAGCGTATCCCGCGTTCTCATCTCCAGGTACATCGGAACCTTATCTACAATCATGACTGCGCTGTTGACATTTTATGTGAATGTTTTTTCTAAAATGTTTCCGTCCTTGCGAGACTTGAGCGAGTACCGGGAACGTCCCGGGCGCGGTTAGACACCGTGATGTATGACAGTTAGCATATGGAAAAAAGTGCTGTATCGAATCACGGTGACTACTTTTACGGATATTTACGGTATCTTTTACATCCACAATGTAGTAATTGAAGTGTTTTTAACTGTATCTTTAATCGACGAAGTCTGCAATATTTGTTGTCACTAGATTACTACTTTTTATTATTATACAAAAGATCCAGCACGCTAAATAGATACGTTGTATTTTCTTCTGTTTGGACCAACACTTGATTAAGGAAAAGAAAGGATCTCCCAAATCCTCCGCTTCACGTTCAAAAACAATCTTAAAAGACGAATTCTTCCAAGATTGGTTCAGACATGCGTTGGAGTATGAAAAGTTTCTTGTTACACAACCAATACGTGTTTCTTTGTGACGTTTCGATGACTATTATGGTATATATACTCTGTCACCTTCATCAGACAAAACGTAGCTGCATCGAGTCAATTCGGTACATATATAACAACTGTTGTACATACGCTTACAGCGCAGCCGGATCGACATCGATTTGTGGACACATTTTACACCTTTGTGTTCATACGCTAAACCGCTCATTTGTCTGATGAAGGTGACAGAGTGCATACCGTACTAGTCATCAAAACGTCACATGGAAACAGTTATTGGTCGTGTAACAAAAAACGTTTTATAAGCCATATTTACAAACTCGAAGAAAATGTTCAGAAATATGCGGTGGAGTAGTTTGTGCAGTTGTTAGTTAAGTAAACGGAAGTGACGATTATGTAATATGACGTTGTAGAGTAGGTGTGTGTAGCACTTCCGGTTGGTATACTGTCAGTTTATTAACATAGAAATAATTCATAAATGTGTTACTAAGTTCGATTTCTGGCATTTAGAATAAATGCTCATTTTCGACAATTCAAGTGTTTGTTATTTTATCGACAAAAAACATAGCAGAGTATAACCTATGTGTGCTGTTGGGTTTAGTGCAGACTAAACACGATCATATAATTGTATTTATGCAATGCATAAAGTGATTTATATTATCTGGTTAGTATAAGATACTTTTATTTGTTATATTTAGTTGGTTACGAATGGAGGATAACTTTTTAAACTAGTCCATCCCTATAGAAGTAGTCACGTGATGTTTTGGTGTTCTAAAGTCACTAGACCTGTGCAGAATTTTTTCCATGCTGACATTTTGAAAAATATCCTTAACAAATCAGTTACCCTCCTCCTCCCCTAATTTGTACCCACCTTTATGTACTATTGTGTAACAAGAGTACCGCGGGGCAGAACAATATACGCCCGTCGAATGCCATTATAGTGTTATATACTTTCTTACATTGAAATAAGATCTGCATCATTCAAAGAGTGGTTAGCTGATACGCTATAAAAATGTACGAGAAAATCTCCGGATAAAAATACACAACAACATATCATGGTCATTTAGCCTACTAAGTTTCAAAGAAATCTGTCAAAAAATGAAGGAGGAGGTTGCCGGACAAAAGATCAAATACTGAAATGAACAAAGTGCAATAACTTTTGGGAAAATTATGAAATCAAAATTCTTTTAAGGGAGAGACAACTTCATATGATGATTATAATATATACCAAGTTTCAAAGAGATCAGTTGAAAAAATGTAGGAGGGGATTGCCGGACAAAAATCAAATACTGAAATGAACAAAGGGCAATAACTTTTGCAAAAATCGTCGAATCAGAATTCTTTTCGATGAGACACAACAACATATCTTGAGTTTTTAACCTGCTAAGTTTCAAAGAAATCTGTCAAAAAATGTAGGTGGAGTTTCCCGGACAAAAAATTAAATACTAAAATGAACAAAGGGCTATAACTTTTGGAAAAATTGTCGAATCAAAATTCTTTTAAGGGCGACACAACTTCACATCATGATATAATGTATTCCGTCTTTCCGTATTGCAGAGTTATCTTCTCTTGGGAGCAGGTATTGATTGTTACGTCACTTGTTTGTGAGAGGAACGTCATCAATTTTTGAGAAAACGACATAATTTTCTCACACAAATCAATGACGTAACAATCAATACCTGCTTCCAAGAGAAGATAACTCTTCAATACGCAAAGACGGAATACCAAGTTTTAAAGAGATCGGTCGAAAAATGTAGGAGGAGAATCCCAGATTGCCGAACAAACAAAAGTTTACGCCGGACGGACGAACGGACAACGCCATACCATAATACTCCCGTCAAATTTGACGGGCGTATAAAAGTGTAATTGTTGCACTTCTTTGTTTTAAATTTTGTTTCATTTGTTGTACATCTTTTAATTACAAAAGGCGTTTGTTTTGAAGCAAGCCCCAACTCTTTTTGGTTCTTCGACACCTTATTATAAAAATCAACGCAAAGATGTAAACACATGTTCGATTTCTGGCATTTAGAATAAATGCTCATTTTTAGACAATTTAAGTGTTTTTTATTTTATCGACAAAAAACATAGCTGAGTATAACCTGTGTGTGCTGTTGGGTTTAGTGCAGACTAAACACCATAAACTAAAGTTTGCTGTCGGTTTTTAGAGGAGGGGTTTGTCCTGTTTAATTATTAACCTCCTATTGTAGAATTTGTCTCTAACAATAGAAATATAGATAAACGTGAAATAACGTGATCATTTATGATATACAGTTGTACTTGCTTAAAATATTACTCAAATTGCGTATGCCACCTAAATCAAATCCAAACTGTCGATATCGCCTCCCGGTGTAGTCTTTATGCTTATCCATATATCAACTGGAAACCTAGGGGCCTTGAGAATTTGTAACAGCTATGTTTGGACCTGAACTAAGGTGTTCAGAGTAACTTTACACGATTTAGGGGTTTAGATCAACTTTAGGTAAAAATTCCACCTCCAATGATGATATATCTACGAGAAGAGGGGTAGCTTTCGATGTCGAAAAGTCGACCCCCACCTGACTTTCTTCATCAAAACCACATTTCTAGTTGATGTACAAAGATTTTTTGTACCGTTGGAAAGATGGATGTTTTTTTCTTATGAAAACCTCTTTTATGTATGTAAAATGTATTCTCCTCCCGCAGAGATGATATCCATTTCCTCCAAAAACACAGGCCATTTCCGTGGAAGTTTTACCGAATGTTTATCTTAACCACTGAAACGTATACAATTACTTTTTTTTTTAAAAACTTTAACATTTTCCTAATGTTATCCAAGATGGACGAGCTATTTTCACAAAGTTTTTAAAGAATCGACCTCCCCCAGCCCCTTAACAGTTTTCGGACTTTCCCAAAGTACATTTCTCTAATGGCTATCTACATCAAAACTCTACAAGGTAAGTTATGAAGAAAGACACCACGTGATGAAAGTGACGTCAACACAGTGGTAGGTAGTCTCGTGCAACCAGACTCTTGTTGTCTGCACAAGCTACGCCGAACAAGTGATCAAGCGTCTCGTTGAACGAGACCAGGTGGTAGGCGAAAGCACCGGAAGTGTATGGAACAGGGATTCGCTTAACGTGTCCTCTATTATGACCATGTCGATAAACATACAATATGACCGACAGCCAGCTTGATCACCCCCTGTTAGAATTAAAACTGATTTATTTAATTGGATGTGTCTTCATACAAAAAAACCTCATTGCACATCAATACATGAATATTTAATAGAAACATATCATTTGATTCCATATTAAATCAATAACAAAACAATACACTGTAAAACATAATAATTAATACACTCTTCCAATAAACATCTACTGAAAAGCGTGTTGTATCAAAACATTTTTAGATTGAATTTTATAAAACTAATCCGTCAACCTTTACATTACTAACAGAAGACAAATAGGAAATCTCCCTAAATGTACCGGGACATTTTGCTATATAAAACCTAACAGAAAGTGATGAACCGACCCCACGTACAGTGTCTCTCCTGAATACATATTTTTCTAGCGGTTTACTTGCTTTGATGAGGTTTCTATAGTGATTTCTTCAATGAACCAATATAGAACACCAATGTAATGATATGCGCCAGTAATCTAGTTGCTTTGCCACTTCATTAAACGTTTTGCCTCCCGAATCCCCGACAACATCGCCCCTTGTACACTGGCATATTTGTCGCTGTGTGTTGCCTCTCCTGCAAACAGCACGGCTGGCTTTCCGGAAGTTTGTAAAAGAGGCTTTGACAAAATATCAATATCGTCATAGTGACTACCGGAAGTGACGAAGGTGTATGCGCCGAGGGTGTGAGGGTCGGTGCACCACTTACTGGTTCGGACACTAGTGGGTTTCGGTATTCGGTCGTCGTTGAGGAATTGCTTCAATATCTGGGTGCACACATCACCAACTTTGGTCTCCGCCATCGCCTCCATCTGCTCCGCAGAGTCGCCGTAAACCCAGGCTATCAAAACGTTATCGATATGCTTCATCGTTTTGAAGGCAAATAAATCACGTGCCCATGACGTTTCTACTTCGTCACAGTCGGCTTCCTTATCCCACACCAGCTTAATTCCACCGTTACCCTTAGTCCAGAAAGGCTCACTGTAGTAAAGTAATATCTTATTTACCTTGCCAAACCCAAGTTTGTCAATGACAGATGCTTGTTCGGAAGGAAGAACTGGACTGAATAGCTTTTGATGAGTCTTCTTAAGAACTCCGAGAGGGATGGTGCTTATCACGTGATTTGCTATGTAAGTCATTTCTGTTCCTCGTTCAACACATTTAAGCACAACAGAAGAAAATCCGTTTTCTTTTTCTGACCAGTCAATCTGCTTAACCTCTGTTTCAAATGTAATTACATCCGGTTCAAAGTTGGACATGAATGTTCTAAGAAGCGCAGTATATCCTGCTGGAAGAGTGTGGTCATCATTCTTGTAGTCGTCTTCAAATCCGTTGCAACTCACTGACAGTCTTGTTAAATCGTCACCGGAATCCTCTTTTAGAATGTTCAACAGCGACCGGAATATATTTTCAGCTTCTTCCGTCTGCTCATCAGAGACGGCTGACAAGATGTTCGGCATCCGGTTTGAAAAGTACTCGTTGCACGAGAGCGTTGATTTTGGGTCAGAAAATGAGAAATTTACCATTTCCTCTACAGCATCTTTAAAGATGGCGGTCACGGTGTCCAGGAGCAATTCGTCTACCTTGCTACCATTCTCTTTGTAGTAGACTCCAGCAAATCTGTCAACAAAAAGGACGTGCTGATGGTGGTGATAAAATTGACGTGGACATAGCGTATAACATCGCCATGTACAATGACTGCCTTTTCCATTCGATTTATATAAATCGGAAATATGTGTTTTGATTTCTCAATTGTTCAAATTAAACACAAAAAAAGGGGAGTAACTGAATAGGATAAAATATGCAATAATAATGTGTTTCCACTGAAAAATATTTTAATTGAGAGTAGGTTAGAAAACTCAAAAATCAACTGTGCAAACACAGGAACATTCGTTTCAGCAGAACTTTTAAAAACCCGCAATGCAGGGTTTAGCGTATTATTACAGATTGGTGATCACGTGATGATCACAAAACATGACGGACGGTTCCTTTCGTGTCGGGATGTAGGATGCACTTTGCAAAGATAATTCGTTGATAGTTTTTAAATGTCACCCTGGTATAATACTAGCCGCTTCCTGCCGTCTCGGCTAGGGAGAATTTCTCTTTAGCTCATTCGGTAGAGCGAAAGACTAGTAAGCCAGAGGTCCCGGGTTCGACTCCTAGCGGAGGAATAGAAAAATTAATGACCTCTGTTACATAAAAATGAAAATAAATGCTACAAATAGGTGATTAGCATTCAACTGGATTCTATCGCGGGCTGTTCCTTAGTATAGGTACCTTTGCATGTGGTCTAATAGAAAAACCCGCGTTTAGCGGACTGATGCACTTACTCATCGTGAACGTTGGTATGACCCAATAGGTCGTGAGCAAGAGCTGCACAATACACAGGGTTGTCTCCCCCTCCATGGATCCATTGCGCTCCCAGCTCGACGGTACATGCGCCCGGCCCAATACAAACGGTATGGATTCGTCCCCCGATCCTGCAAAACAAAGACACCAATAAGACGTTGCTGAAGTACACGCATTTGAGCCTATTCTAGCACATCGTATTACGGGACACCCCTGTTTCACAAGTCACTAGTAAAATAGAAACACCAACTCGAGAAACGAATATGATATACATTTGCAGATTTATAATACTATTTTGTGTTTTGACCTTGCTCCAAATTGTCCGGAGTGACACCAACTAGGGTTGGATTTAGGATTTCAAAACATAAGTGCCGACACATCAAAAACATCTCAATCAGGATACAATAAAGCAAGGAGTGGAATGGTACCATCCGGGCAATCATTATAATTCAGTTCAACTTTGCATTTCAATCAAATCTTAAATATTTAGCATTGAAAATGTCCAATATAAGCACATTACATTAAAATAAAATTCTGGTATTTGCCGGGTGGTGGGTTGGTGCAGTGGGAAGCGCACTTGCCTTTCATCATGGCGGCCGGGGTTCGATTCCCCGATCGGACGTGAAAAGGTATGGTGTCACCTGCCCAACTACATGGGTTTTCTCCGGGTACTCCGGTTTCCTACCACACTTGGACCCCCCGCACGCTTACATCCGGGCCAACAAGAGTGATTGATATAAGTTCAAATTACTTGTTTCATAATTGTTGTGAAATACATAATGGTTATACAACATATTGCTGAGTATAGCCACACTCCCCATCCCATCCAAACACTATACCGGCCACTGCTAAAGTCACCTGTTCCTAGCCTCCAGTATCTTCACATCTTTGTAGCCAGAAGCAAAAAGTGTGTTAGCTGCTGTTATCCCAGCTATGCCGGCACCGATGATTATCACTTCCGCTGATTGGGTCGCCATCTGCCAGAGATAATAAAAGGACAATCCAATTAACAATGTTGACTGTTTCATGTATTTTTTGATAATAATGATAATTCGAGGTTCTTAAATACCGCTTTATCACATCCTAGTTCTTAGGTCATCTCAAAGCGGTTCACAAATTATTATCCGTGGTTATATATATAAATTATAGGGCCTTTGCAATCAGGCAATATCGGTCTGAACTCCATGGGAAGAATATACAGCGGTGCTGCCATTTCGGCGCTCACAGCTAGCATTCAACAATTCTAGGACTCACTGCCCAACCACGTACTCATTTACAGCTGAGTAGACTGGAACAAGTGGAGTAAAGTATATTGCTCAAAGATACAACACAGTGCCGTGACTCGAACCCGCAACCCGTCGGGCACGAGCCCGGCGTCCTACAACTAGACTACCGTGCCTCCTAATTCTGTCTATCGTTATTTTAATGTAAATATCAACGTAACAAGATAAGAGCTACGCTTAATTATAACAAAGGGCAAATGAGAAAGATGAGTATAATGCACGTTTTATGTTATGTAGCTAAACTCCCTATTTTTAGCTGATACGCTAACAGGGTCACACAAAGGTCAGTAAACTATTGATCGGCGCATACGAGTGCCCGTGATGACCCCATATATAAGACAATGAATATCTAAGTTTATTGGATTTAATGTCCTCAAAACCACAGGGACCTGAGAATTTCGGTGAAAATGCGACCCCAATGATGTTATTATACGGGTAATATCAATATTGGGGGTGGCTCCCCCCCCCCCCCCCCCCCCAAAGTTGATCGAAACCCCTAAAACCTGTAAATCTACTCTGAACACCTCTTAGTTTAGGCCCAAATATAGCTATAACAAATTATGAGGTCCCTGTGTTGCATCATCCAAAGTCATATAAGACGGGCCAGCCTGATGGAGATTTACAGGATTCCCCGAGGACGTTACACTCCAAACTTACCTATTGGTTCACATATGGGGTCACACAGGTCACGTTAATTAAGACCAGTCGGAGGGACAACGGGAACCGTCGGCACTTTCCGTAAACGAAGAAAATATTTTCTCGTTTACGGAAAGTGCCGAAGGTTCCCGATTGTCTGAGAGATTCCGTGTCTACTCTCGAAAAAGAAAACCTGCTCGCGGCAAAGTTCAGTTGGATGATTTTTTTTCTGATAAAAAGCCTCATTGTAATTCAGAGACATATCCTTCATTTCAATTAAATTAAATTTAATACCAAATGAACGTTGCATATAGGCGTATAGAAAATTAACATATTGCATACGAGCTCACAAATATATTGTACACTGGCGGGGAACATGCATAAATGTAATCATGATCAGTTTAATTGCATAATGAGTATGAGTAAAAAAAAAAAACTAAGAACTTCCCGGAAGGTAACTTTAAACGGATTCTAATAAAGCTTTATCTAGTTGTCTATGAAATTATACACACTAGCCTTTAGCTAACCAAATTTCCAGTTCAATTATAAAAATTCATAGCGAACTAAACATTGCCATGGACGATTTGACAGGTTTATCAATAAGGACTGATTTTGGTTTGAACACAACTCTTTATGTAACGTCATGGTCGTTCACTTCTACCAGCAATTCATATTTCTGAAAATTCCGTAAGAGCACAGCTGTCGCAAATTTGAGTAATAAAATACGCAGTGTTAATAGTTATTATATATATTCAGTTATACAAAGTATCAGGTATGTTGTATCGGAAGGTAGTCCGTATTTGCAGAAATCATGAACAGTAGTCCTTCAACGATGACCTTATTTACATCAAGATGATGATACAAAAACGTCATTTTTTCTACATCGGTTCTGTTTGCCGAACTGAAGATTGGCTGATGATCCGCACCCCAGTTAAAATGTAAAATTATCCAGACCTTCATAGGTGTGTACTGCATAGTTATTTAAGAAGTATTACCAACAGGTATTAGACTTGCTCAGGCAATGAATGTTTCTTGGCGGGAAGAATCGGAGAAAAGTAGGTTTTAACATATTGCCGGCATTTTAAAAATATCAAAGATAGTATTCAAAATGGCGTAGGATGCTAGGTAAACGTCACAGAAAAAACTGAAGACGTAAAATTCATCGAGATGAAAATCCCCATCGACTGCAGAAAGAATTTTTCAAAAATTTTAACAAATTAACAAGTTGAAAAATTGATGACTTTGACCCGACAGGAAGGATCTTAATTTGGCATTTTTCCTAATAGCATGTATTGAAAAAAATGAGCCACGAAAAATATCTTTAAATGATATAATTTCATGAATACTGTATGATGAACGGTTTTGAGTTATTGCCGTTTGGAGGTTTAAATAATTTTAATTATAAAAATACAGGACATATGCTACCGCTTTGACTTTCAATGAAACGCATCGTTTGCATTAATTATGCTTTTTGATGATCAAAGTGAGGCTAGGTTATAAACTTTTAAAAGAACAAAAAGGACGAATACGAAAATAAGGCTTGATATCAAAATACATTTAATTTAAAAAAAAACGGGACTTAAAATGCTTCCGCTGTGATCTTTCCATGAAACGCATCGTTTGCAGAAATTATGGTTTTTGATTATTATTACATGGAAATGAGAGAAACAATGATCAAACACAACGCACGCTATATGGTATATGGAAGTACTTTAACATCTGTTACATCATACGAACACCTGTTTCATGACTCACTTCCGTTCTAACTGTATACGTGTACACGTGTTTTATTGAATATTGAAATAAACGTGTTCAGGTAGAGTGTCCTATCACTTTTCTGCTATATTCATATAAAATTAAAGACTTTTGGCCATTTCAATTAGCTAGAATATTGTGAAATTATTTCCAGTGCGTAGTATCGCAGATGCTTTAAACAAAACCATGATGACCGGTGTTGCAGTGATTAAGGTTTGTGCTGTAAATACTAGTAGCTTGCGTCTTATGGATCGAATACTTGTAACGGAGCGCAGATTTGTTTTTCTCCCATCCCTCACAGGTGTGTCTCCCTTTTAAGCAGGGAAAGATCAGCTTGTCACCTTAAGGGAGAGATAGTATCGTACAGAGTGGCATGACCTAAGTCATAACAACAGTATGAGGTCACGTCATTAATGCATTAACGTCACGTTAGCAGTATCAGACTATAGAAGACAAATCTGGAATTGTTGGAAAACACATGCAGTCGACGCTTATATTTCGAACAATCACCTCTTGTCGGCGGATTTGTGAGAGAAACAGGATGGGAAAAAAAAACAATCATCCCATACGTTGAGGTTGTGACAGGGAAATCTCCAACCCCGGAATGATATTCTCGATTATGAAAATCCCGAGTGTTGAATTTCCCTATCCTACACCCGTTGAAAAAGAACGTTGAACTGTGCAAAACCTCGTGTTTGGCAACTTAAGAATCTTCCCCCTTGGGTTGGGATTCCCCTATTTCACTCCAGGGGGGTGAACATTTTTATTGATATTACACCCAATTTCACATTACCGGACGTCACTGCATGATGATGGCTCAACAATGACCTGACGTCACGATGTTGGAGAACTCAGATTCAGTAATGCAGAAAAGGCGAAGCGATGAATTTAAAATCTTTTACGATATATATACTTGCCGTGCACGTTAGAAAGATGAGTTATTTTCGGTGTTTGCAAATAAGGGGATAATCTCACTGAAAGATTCGTGAAAAAGGCTCCTTTTTTTAAAAATGGTAGCCAGTTCAACAGCATTTTAATGGTTTCTGAGCTTATTCTGGAAGTTTGAATGAGAGAAAATAATCTTGAAGCCCAGAGGGTGTAGGATAGGGAAATTCCATCCTCGGGATTTTCGAATTTGGCAAAACTCTTTACAAAGCCTCGGATTTTAGAAAATTTGAGAACCCCTTAGGTGGAATTTTCCTATCCTACACCATTGAACATATAAGAGTCTTATATTGTGTGTGTGTGTCGAAATTAACATTACAATAAACATCTTTATTTATGATATTATATCTTTGCTATATAAAATGGAAAAATCATTTCAAGCAAAACGAAAAATGCCTATAAATGGTATAAATGACGCACATGTACTGCCAAAAAACTGTAGATTTGCTACAACGGCATCTGAGTTGGTGATAGAAGGATATGAATTATTTATAGAACACCTAAGTGCAGAAAATAGAATTCGAGGAACAGCGCTCTACATCAATTCAGATCTAAAAGCGAATGAAGTATCCATTTCGACGGTTTTTAAGGATCACAAAAAATATGTAGATTATGTCAAGGCAAGAAACAAAGTAAAGAGCTTGGTGGGAAAAGCTAAAAAATAACGGGCAAAATCTCGGAAAGGATGTGAAAACCAATCCGAAGAAATTATGGAAATACGCCAATTCGAAAATAAAAAAAACAGAACAAGAATATCATTACTGGCCGTGATCTTCATCAATGAAAAAGGATGAACAATTCCTTACAACAGAGTGTCCTTAGAGTGCACAAAAATGGCGACACTATCGTAAAATCGGCAAACGTTTTGGCGGACTATTTCAGCAGTGTTTTTACAAGAGAAACAAAAGGAGACATACCTCAGCTCCTAGTTAGGCATACCGAAAAACGTTTTGTTTGGAAGGAAATCAGCGAACAAGAAGTTGTCAAATTAATCACAAGTCATAATACAAACAAATCCCAAGGTCCAGATAACATACATCCAAAAATATCAAAAGAACTTGAACTGGTAATAACTAAACAGTTCAAAATACTTTTCAATCAATTATTGCGTACGGGTTGTGTGCCATCAATTTGGAAAGAGGGAAGGATTACAGCTAAATTCAAGAAGGGGGATAAGCGTTTTGCAGGTAACTACAGACCAGTCAGTCGAACAAGTATCATAGGTAACTACAGACCAGTCAGTCTAACAAGTATCATAGGTAACTACAGACCAGTCAGTCTAACAGGTATCATAGGTAACTACAGACCAGTCAGTCTAACAGGTATTATAGGTAACTACAGACAGTCAGTCTAACAAGTATCATAGGTAACTACAGACCAGTCAGTCTAACAAGTATCATAGGTAACTACAGACCATTCAGTCTAACACGTATCATAGGTAACTACAGACCAGTCAGTCTAACAGGTATTATAGGTAACTACAGACAGTCAGTCTAACAAGTATCATAGGTAACTACAGACCAGTCAGTTTAACAAGTATCATAGGTAACTACAGACCAGTCAGTCTAACACGTATCATGGGTAACTACAGACCAGTCAGTCTAACACGTATCATGGGTAAATACAGACCAGTCAGTCTAACAAGTATCATAGGTAACTACAGACCAGTCAGTCTAACAAGTATCATAGGTAACTACAGACAAGTCAGTCTAACAAGTATCATAGGTAGCTACAGACCAGTCAGTCTAACAAGTATCATAGGTAACTAGAGATCAGACAGTTTAACAAGTATCATAGGTAACTACAGACCAGTCAGTCTAACAAGTATCATAGGTAACTACAGACCAGTCAGTCTAACAAGTATCATAAGTAACTACAGACCAGTCAATCTAACAAGTATCATAGGCAGACTATTAGAAACAATTGTAAGGAATCGCGTTATGGAATAGTTTACAAACAACAAGCTTCTAAGTACTCAGCAATTTGGACTTGTCAAAGGGAGGTCAACATACCACAGCTTCAACCATGGATGACTGGACTAAAATCATTGATGAAGGGGCTGGTATCTAAGTTGTTTATATGGACGTCATGAAGGCCTTTGACATTGTTCACCACATAAGGCCAATCAGCACACTGAAATCATATAGACTGTCAGTAGAACGAGTAAGCTGGATAAAAGACTTTTTTGGCTAAAAGACGACAGCAAGTTGTTGTTAATTGTGACTCCTCTGAATGGAGACAAGTCACTGGCGGAATACCACAGGGTAGTGTACTTGGAACATCATTGTTTGCTCTGTGCATAAATGACCAAACAGATGTCGTTTATTCAAACGCCCTACTGTTTGCCGACGACACTAAATTGTATATACAGATTGGGATAATTGTCGACAATAGATTAAGTTTTAGGAATCATATACAAGCCGCCGTAAACAAAGCATGGAACCATCAGAAGAACAAATACATACTTGGATAATGAATCACTTTGCCTACTGTATACATGTTTAGTTCGACCCCATCTAGAGTATGGAGCATGTGTATGGAAACCATACAAACACGTCGTTATTCTATAGACGTGATAGGGGGAAACAGGATAGAAGTGTTCAAAATCCTGAGGGGTGTCTATGATACAACAGCATCACAGGGACTTTTGTTACTAAAACAAGATAAAAGGACTCGATGACATTCACTCAGTCTGGTTAAGTCAGGGAGAAGACTCGACGTTAGGAAATACTCAGTAACTCAACGAATTGTTAGCAACTGGAATATTATTCCCTACCTGAGAATGTGATTCAAGCACCAAATCTAACACTTTGGAAACCCGCATTGATAAATTTGAGATTCATAACAACATTGGAGTGACGTCACATCAACAACGTTGTGTTCAGAATAAACTTAGTTAAGCTCTACTTTAAGCTAACATTTAGTTTGAGTGATCTCAAACTATGATTACATTAAAATGAAGTGATTCAGACGCATACATTTCATTCAAATAATGTACCTAAAATGTATACATGCGTATATAGTGTCCACGTCATCAGGAAAATCGATATAGCATATAAAATACAAATGTATACGGTATACGTGTGTCGTCTGCGTATAGGAAAATACATGATAACCTAGCTACCGGCCATTGCTTTGTAGTTAAGAAAGTGTTTCGCTTTGCATGAGGAATCACATGTACTGGAATATATACACATGTCTACGAAACAGTACATCTACCCTAGACGAACGAGTGTAGTTTAAATATATATTCACTTAAAGTTACTTAAAATTTGTATGATAAATATGTGTATTGGTCATGTGGTCCTAGTTGAACGCTATATACACCCTTCACTTTCAATTCAGTGTTAACACTGGGAAGTTTCACCGGAATAAAGGAAACATTTCGAGTTACAGACATTTTGCCATATACTTACATACTAGTAACTTCATGATATACTTACAATTGTTCGAGTGAAGTCTGTGTACCACACTGCTTTGTTTACTAGCTACAGGTGTATATATATAAAGTGAGCGGCCTTTCGCAGTTGTATCGGTGTGAGTCCTCCGTACGTCAATCAAAACAAAGTTATGAGGGATGGTCCGAGAGATAAAACTATGTAAGTTGGGTTGGGTGAACATTGACCCGATAATCTCTCACTTGCTGCAATCACAATAACGGCTTCAATAACAACGCACATGTCCTTCAGTAGTGAAATAAAATCACAGCTGTGCCGCTATCTCGGTGATATACTATTACAAATATAACCTGTTTGCTCGGGTTACATGTATATTTTTGCCTTTCTTCATCTTCCTCAACAGTAGTGGCCTAGCTGTTGTATATAAGGATGCTAAAGTTATTAACCTCTGTTGTCAAGACAACGGCGATTGATCCGCACTCTACTTCCGCTCTCAACAACAATAACAACAACAATAGGAAATTCTGATCGTAATCTTAGCGGACCGCCAAACATGGTGACAAATCCAATCAAATTCGATTTTAATACATTGTGTATAAATAATAATTACAAATAATTTATCAATAAAATTCATTCATGTTTCACTTACATCTTATTATTATGAAAGTTAAAATACAAGCAAAGTAGAGAGAGCCTCGAAGATATGATTTTAAGTTACACGTGAAACGATATGGAAAAAAGAGTCTTAACACGATTTGTATCATATATGTATATATCTCTATATTATAAGACTTTATTTATCTCACCTGTATCAGGTAACACCACTATATATAACATAAAGTGAACTGTTTAAAGAACACATTAGTAGCCAATACATTACCAAATAGATATCTTGTCATCTAAGTCAGCATAACTACAAGTATGTATGCATTTGTTCTAAAAGAAAGGTATGTGATGTCACTTTAACCTAAGGTAAGTACAACAGGTATCCTCGTCTCCTTACGTCATACCTATATTTTATCATCAACAGTCAGTACAACAGGTATCCTCGTCTCCTTACGTCACACCTATATTATATCATCAACAGTCAGTACAACAGGTATCCTCGTCTCCTTACGTCATACCCATAT